AAAATTTCAAAAAACTCCATTATCCCTCCCAAAATTTTGAATCATTTGCCCCTTAACTTAATTTTTTTTTATCATTTACCCCCTAAGTGAAGGGTAAGTGATAAAAAAAAATTAAATAAGGGTGTAAATGATTCAAAATATTTGTGAGGGGCAAGTGATAATTGAGAAAACTCATATTATAAATTTGTATGATTACTTTTTTTATTTTTTATTTTTTAATGAGTGGTGGACCCTACCACATTATATGTTATAGTAGGAAAAAAACTATCCTCAATAATATGAGAAAATAGAACCTCAAAAATTAAAGTATAAGGTGGTTTTCTTCTCTTTTGTCTGAATCAAACACTCGCTCAATTCTCCAAAAAATGGATGATAAGAAAATCAACTTCTTCAATACTGGAATAGGGGGTTTTTGACCCTTTTGCCCCTAATTAAATAATTAATAACCAATTTGCCCTTCCCCCAGAACTATCCACCATCCTGCCCCCATTTAGTCGATTATGTTGCACTTTTAATCGACTAAATGGGCTAAACTCAGAAATTATGAAACGCGAATTTTAGTCGACTAAAAACTCATCTTAATCGACTAAATTGTTTGCACTTTTAGTCGACTAAGCACATTATTTAGTCGACTAAATGTCGCAGATCAGGTTTTTTAAAAAACCCCCCATTTCGCAAAGGGGGTTATTTTCAAACCCTAATCGACTAAAAGGCTGCATTCCGTCCCCTCTCTCCAACCAAGTCTGAATCTCAACCCTTGAAGGTGCGATTGAAGCTTCCTTGGTTCACACTTGCGAAATCGACATTTAGGTAACGTATTCTGACTTGCATTTGGTTTTAAGTTTAGTTTTTTTTTTGGTTTTCTTGATGCATTTGATTTATGTTTGCGGTTTTGTGGATTTAGGTTAGGGGTAGGGTGCTAAGTGTGTTGTGAGGGTGAGGGTTAGGGTTGATGTGGTGCCTTAGGCTTAGGGTTAGGGTTATGTTAGGGTTAGGGTTAGGGTTAGGGTTAGGGTTAGGGTTAGGGGTAGGGTTTACGTTGCTGTTTTGGTTGGGTTGTAGTGTTTAGGGTTATGAATGGGTTTTCGTGTTCTGTTTTAGGGTGTAGGGTTAGGGTTAGGGTTAGGGTTAGGGTTTCTGTTTCTGTTTTAGGGTTAGGGATTGGGTTTCTGATTTCTGTTTTATTTTAGGATTAGGTTTTGTTTTTTATATTGAATTTTAAATTTTTTGATATTGTTATTGTTCATTGATTTTTGTTTCCACTTGCATTGTAGGTACAGTTGTTCCCATGGTTGGCCGTAGAAGATCGTCTAGCACTGGAAATGAGAGACGACAAAAGCTACGACAAGACCATCCGTCTTCGTCAAGGCCACAAGAGGAAGACCCCGCTGCTGTGGACCTCCCATTCGAATACTTGTTCGAGAATGACCCGGTGGTTCATGAAAGCCTCAATGCACGGGTGAAAAGTCCAAAATACCCTGCGAAAGACAGCCTTATCGGTGTAGACTCGTCGTTCGTCACAACACTGATCCGTATCAATCTTGAACACAGAACCAGGATTTATTTGTGTCATGTAGTTCAGCCAACCAGGTAAGATGGCATATGATTTTTCCCAGTCGCCAAACAACTTCACAATGGCTTTCATTTTAGCCTTCCAAGCCTTCCTATAAGATATGTTGTATCCATACAAACTTTGTACCCTCTCCTGAATAAGAACTGGTTTCGTGGATGGATCTTCTTTTAACATACCTACACAAAATTCGAAGTCAACACAATCAATAAATATACCGAAAAATTAAACCATAAACAAAAATGAATGTAATACATACTTATAATGGTTGCACAGATTACATCAGAATCCAGCTGTCTATGGTCCCGAGTAAGGCCTTGGTTTAGGCAGGTGTGTTTTTTACCCCACTTACTAACAACCCAACTATTTCCATTCTTGGGCAACATAGCCCGCACGTACCAGGGACAACCATCATTATGGTGTCGACACTTCATCACAAATCTATGGTCATCACTTTTTGCCACCACAGCAGTACGATGAGACTTCATACAATATAATTTGACAGCATGTTGCATTTCAGATTTAGTTCGAAACTCCTGGTACAAATATAATGGATCTCCTAAATGCCAGCCACCGTGGATGTCATCGTCGCCATACAATATCTCCGTCTCATCATTAGGGTGAGCCCAATTAATGAACGAATAGTGTGGGCTGTCGTTCCAAAATGGCTCAATCTCAGACCCTACGTCCAAATTTAAACTTATCCGTCAGTACGAAAGAAAACACAAATATATATATATGCAAAATTAAAACTTCATATTACAATCTTACCATTGCTAACAGGGTCAACACGGAGCGGTGGCATAACCTGGGAACTCAAGTTTCCTGAACTAGTATCAGCGTCAAAATTCCCCTCTACGTTCGTATCTGAGGTGTCACCCAGCGGAATAACACTCTCGGGTTCACCATCGTCTTCACTGTCCATATCCTCGTCATGCCCATCCTCATCCTCGTCTATTTCCCTCAGTGGTATCTGACTTAAGACAGGTGCAGGTGCAGATAAACCGACCACTCTGTCTTCTTGACTTTGACTTCTTCCATGCACAGGTGCAGATGAAGATTGACCACAGTCTATTTCAACATATATCTCAATAAAGTTTTGAAATTTTCGGTCCACAATTGCATCTATGACACAATCCACATCTTCATCGTCACATATATCATTACCAATGTAGAATATAGCATCCTTACCAACTGTAGACTCTACCCTGGCGATCATTCGTTGAACGCCATGGCTCCCGTGTAGCCCCAATTTTTGGTTAATCCTCCCCTTCAGCTCATTGTACGTAGTGCCCCGTTTGATTTTCAACATTTTCGTTTTTCCTTCAAATTGAACACCGTTGGGGCCTTCATAATGCTTTCCATCATAGTAAATCATGGTAACATACATATTTGGACTTGAGCTCATCTTTCACACGAATTTTGGGGGTAGGAAACAGATTTTAGGGGTTAGGGTTCAGATTTGGGGGAAACAATTGAGAAATAAAGGAAAATGACAATGATTTCACAATTACTATGTCTTAGAGGTGGTGGGATGAAATGAAAGGGTGATTGGAAGGTTCCCAGCTGACAAACAAGAGAAAGAGACTAAGAGAGAAGTTTTGATTTCGAATATTTTGAAAATGAGCCCAAGAGAGGTCTGGATATAGGGTTTTTCGCGATCTTTAGTCGACTAAATAATGTGCTTAGTCGACTAAAAGTGCAAACAATTTAGTCGATTAAGGTGAGTTTTTAGTCGACTAAAATTCGCGTTTCATAATTTCTGAGTTTAGCCCATTTAGTCGATTAAAAGTGCAACATAATCGACTAAATGGGGGCAGGATGGTGGATAGTTCTGGGGGAGGGGCAAATTGGTTATTAATTATTTAATTAGGGGCAAAAGGGTCAAAAACCCCTGGAATAGGAGTATAAGATTTTTTAATGAGCAATTTTTTTTTTAAGAGAAAAAATACTTTGTGGTCATGGACTCATAACCGAGTAAATATCCTTGTAAGAATCAATCTCACATTCAATAAGTTCGAGAACTATTCATAATTTAAAATAAATGATAAAAAGTCATGCTCTTAAAAATGATAAATTATCTTGGGATATTTAAGTGTGATGAGTTCCACATTGGTTGGTAATGGACTAAGTGAATAGTATATAAGTGGAAGGACCCATGAACCCAATGCCTTAAGGTTTTGGGTTGAGACATGGTGTCGGATCAACTTGTTACGGTTGGTGTAGCCTTAGCTTATTGGTGGTATCAGAGCCAGATTGGGCTCGAACTAGCTTGGTGATTGGCTAGGAGGCGGGTTGAGTACTTGGGCCCTGGGAGATTGTTGAGTATATTCAAGTGTGATGAGTCCCACATTGGTTGGTAATGGGCTAAGTGAATAGTATATAAGTGGAAGGACTCATGAACTCAATGTCTTAAGGTTTTGGGTTGAGACATGATGTCGGATCCACTTGCTACTGTTGATGTAGCCTATTGGTGGTGGCCCTCCGCCACGGGGTTTACCCTGCACCCGCCTGACAACTATTTTTCAAAAGTTTTGTGAAATAAGAATATTCGATAAACATCATAAAAGTGATGTAACTTTTCCACCAATGGTAGCACGGTAGGCCATCCACATGAGGACATTCACATTGAAGGCAATAGCTACCTTATCCTTTTTCTTGCCACCCCGTCCCCATTCTCTTCCGCTGAAGTTGTCCCTCTCCCTAGTTGTTGAAGTATGGTTTTGCTCCCTCTCGTTGATTTAAGCAGTCAATATTGTATCTTATTATATATAAGAGCAAAAACTTGGTATATACATTTGGATATATTCTCGTGCAGGTTACATTCCATCTATCTCTAATAATTTTAATTTATTAATTATATAAATTATTAAATACAAATAAAATTAACCAGTGAAATCGGATGTAACTTTTTTATTCTTATATTCATATGATATATATATATAAGCTGGATATTCTTATACCGGTGTAATAATAAAAAGTCTTACATCAAATTTGATCATTGATTTAATTACATGCATCTAACTATTCATAAATTAGAACCGTTAAATATAAATAGTGCCAACGACAGATATTAAGAATATAACTTATATCAGTGTAAAATAATCCAAGACATGATATATATATATATATATATATATATATATATATATATATATATATATATATATAATCTATGACAAATAGTGTGACTTAAGAATTTACTAACCTTACTATAAAAAAAAAACTGCTAAAATATAATTCTATTTAATGATCCTGCAAAAACAAACTACAAAAATATAATACCGTTTGAATGATCCAGGACATAAATTAATAATAAGAAAACTGTTCTTTCTATTTTCCAATGAAGTCCTTTTTGTTTCGTACAGCAATAAACCATTTTTTTGTTCTAACAAATCAAATTGATGGGGGGAATTATATAGAAGGAATCCTAGCCGTTGATAAGTGCATCAATGTTGTGACGGGCTGCCATGAATAGGTTGTGGTAAACCTTCTCCGTAGGGTGCAATGAATCAAAGAATACATACTTTGATGGATCAGAGCAAACATACGAAACCTCATTACACAAAAACGTGGTTTCGATGTAACCACTTCCACAACAGCCACTATCAACCTCATCCAACCCTACCAAGAACAAATACAAGAAAAATAAATTATGGTTAGCCAAATCAGGTTTGTGAACTAATATATATACCTCATTAGAACAAATATATATATAATCTTAATTAACCAAGCAAGGGACTAAATTGTCTACTTAGTTACCAAATTTTTCATGCTCTTGAATCATGTTGGCCAACGGTCCATATATGTCAATGTAAGAGATCTTAGCACCAGCAGGATTAGAGAAATTAAGTTGCATTAAGAACAATTCATGTTGAAGCATCACATTGTGATCTCTTGCAACAGCGGAATACTTGTCCACACAATTGCGATCAAGAAAGGCATTGTCGGAATTGAAGGTGATCATGATCGGCAAGCATCCCATTGGAGGTAGTCCAACAAAAGCAATTTTTCTAGCACCTTCTGTCCATAAATTCTAAATGATAACTAGTGTTATTTAATCAAGCCATGAACATCTAATTTTTTAATACAAATCAAACAAGTCTTCATTCAAAGATTGGATTAATGTAAATCTTTGTACTATATTATTTTATTTTTACGTGTATTTATATATATATATATATATATATATATATATATATATATATATATAGGGTTTAATATTTATCCTCGGACACAACTTGTGTCCTTTTAATAGCTTTGCACTATGTCTTACCAGTAAGACATAATTATAATACGAATTTTTTTTTTCACTTTCTATGTCTACAACTGAGGAAAGAGAAAAAAAATTAACTTTTCGTACTGGTAAGACACAATGTCAAGCTACTAAAAAGACACACATTTTCTCTCTCTCTCTCTCTATATATATATATATATCGTAAAATCATTTTTACAGCCGCTTTACGATACAACAGTGACAGGTGTATGGTTATGATTCTCTACATTTAATACTTTTCACTTTTGTATGGTTATGATTCTCCACATTTAATACTTTGATGTATATATATGACAAGTATTTGACTGCTGCACGTACAACAGCTATAGAAATATAAACCCTTATATATATGGGTCAGCATCATTTCACACCAGTGTAAGTTACACTCTTAATCTTGTCTGTTAATCTCACTTATATCTAAGAGCTCAGATTTTTTAGTAATGTGAGCCATTGGATACAAGTGGATCAATGATCAAAATTGAGTCTAAAACTTCTAACTCTTACACCGGTGTAAGAATATCCTGCCTATATATATATATATATATGCATGAAGGGAAAAAATAGAATGTAGTTGATTGAGAATCAAACCTGTATGAAATCTTTTACGTGTTGAAGCAAGAACTGGCCGTAGTTTAAGAGGGTGAAGCTCTTTCTTCGTATTGGCAACGTAAAGTAATTAATAACGAAGTCATTTGTTCCCGCACTGATGAAAAATACAGCATTATTCATATGATTTTCAGTTCTTTGCTTACCAAGCATACCTTCCATCCTCTTTTTGCATTCTTTGAAATGTTCCAACTGCTTTGGTATTGGAATCACATTCTGAAATTAATAGCCAGACAAAACAAAAGAAAATTTATTAGGAACACAATCCTATCTGTTTCTTACTGATCATAGTGGGGGCAAAACAAAACAAAAAAAACTAACGTTTTTACACACTGCTCCAACACCTATATAAGATGAGAAATTCTAATTTATTCTTAGTTCTGACCTAATTAAGAAGCATGGATGTAGATACATGGCATAAATGCAACACGGTACCAGTACTTAAATATAACAAATTTTCAAAGTTATAAGACACGATATAACTTAAATATAACATAAAAATAATATAATATTAGTATAAAAACATAAACCGTTGGATTTACATTTCGCTAATCATGATTAGAGTGTTTCCTAGTTACATGACAATAACACCAACCCATGTTTCAAGGTTTGTGGGAATAATAAAATAATATTTTATTCAAATATGTGTTACTTGTATTAACACGAAAACTCAAATAGTAATTAGAAAATATAAGTTACAAATATTCCTAAGTATCCCAAAAAATATGGGTATAATAGATATATACACAATTATTTTAAAGTATCGGTACTTTTTATACTTTGACAGAAGGGGTATGTTTTTCTCATGTTACATGAGATAACATACCCCTCCTACTCATACATCAAAAGTCGTGCTAGCTTTTATTTATTTTTTTACTTTTTTTTTAAAGAGTAGGTCCCACATATTTTGAGTCTATGGCATGAGATAGCAAGTCTCATGCAACATGAGACTTGTATTTCCCTTGACAGAATTAGTGAAAACATATAACAAATATCACATATATGAATGTCTATCATTTAGTTAAATTTATAATGCTATATAATAAAATTTAGATAAAATCTAAACCATTAAGAGCATTCTTACATAAGTATTTCTACATGCACCGATAGCACAAGTATATGAAAAAATGATAAAAGAAAGTCTGACACTGTACATCTCCAAGTACCCTTGATTTGTTGGCGTAAATATAAAGTATGAAGCAGATCATAATGGGTTTTAGATAATAACGAACACGCAAATTAAACGGAGAAAGATTGAGGCAGAGAAAAAGAGTTATACACCCAGAGTTGGTGTAAGTGGGTCAAAACCAGAACCAGCTGAGGCGAAACTGACTCCTGTTATGAGCTCTTTATCACTGAGATTTGGATCCAAATATGGTGGCAACAACTCTTTCAGGCCTAGATATGAAGCTGCATGTGCAATTCCAAATAGAACATCGAGCAAGGATAGATCAGTTTTCGCAATTACCCCTTATTCTCTATAAGTTACATAACAATGATTTTTGAAATATGGTAGTCAAACACACACAATTAATTAAAATAATCAAAAAATAAAAGGAGAAGCATCATTTTCTATTTAGGGTATACCTCTAATAACATGTTTTTACGTATTCTACTCATTATACAAGTTACAAGAAAATATATATAAGCTATTCATGAATTCAAATCCAAACTAACAAGACTACTCAAGACCTCTTCCTAGACTCCACTTAGATAGCCCCTAATATGCTGGCAAAAATTATTGGATATATTAATAATATAATTCAATAATATATTTATATACAGACCCAATAGATAAGAGTATGGATATTTGGATCCATATTCGCCGGAGCTCAATAACCTAAACTATCTCTAGCTAGAGTTTTTCTTAATACTGTTGAATATTCTAATCTGATGTCTCTTGGTATAATACTTCGAGCACCTATAAATCTCTTTGTTTCTCAAATCCATAACCTCCCACAAAAACATATGTTGTCAACTAAATGTTGAGTTATATCCAATAAATTTAACATAGGGCAAACCCCGTGCACAAAGGCTTCCCAAAACTAGATTTGAACATGTGATCTTTTCACGAAAAAAGAAGCAACCTTATCATCGCCGTACATAAAAATTTAACATCCAAAGAAAAAATAAAGAAGAAGAAGGAGTTACCAAGAAAATCAGTGGCAAGCTTCCCATTTGTGAACCTTCCCGTAGGAACTTGGTTGGCAAAATCTCTACCATAGGGTGGAAAATCGCTCTTGAAAGCCGTGTTTATGTAGTTGTTGTTTCCTGAGTCTACTGTGGAGTCTCCAAAAACATACATGGCAGAGACCTTATCGTTTGAGGCTTCGATTGTGACCATAAAGCACAACAAGCAAAGCATGCAAAGGTGTACAAGAGAGAGCAATGGGTGTGTATCAGAGGTTTCCATGATCAGAATAAAGTACGTGATGATGGACTCTGAATAATAAAATGAAGGATCTTGAATATCTATGTATAAATACCGAGATATGGCCATATGGGCCTGTAGCTACTGTGGAGTAAAATACAGGGTTGATTTTTGGTAACCAAAACAACCCTCAAAAGTATGGGACAATTTACAATTTGTCCATTCCTAACGCGACGTTGGGGGTAGCGTTGGTTGGAAAATTCACCAAACATTTCCGAAACTTCAATAGCTTCTTAACAACCTTTCTTACAAAGTGAGTGTTTGATGAGATACGAGGAAATTAAATATGTGACAAATATTATACTAAGTAATGCTGTAATATTAATATATAATTTAAGGATGACGATGCATATGGTTTGTAAAGAACCAATTCAACTCAAAAGTTTAAGTTATTGGCATGAAGGATAGACAATGCACAAATGCACAAGCTCACTTACTATGTGCTAAGAAACTCTACAAGACTTAAATAATTATTAACTAAATATGAGACCCATGACATTGAGACTCTTGTACCATCAATTCAACCTAAAAGTTTTAAATTGTTGGGTAAATTAATGATGATTTTATGATATGGTTGTTGCAAAGCTTGATAGAAGGGGGAAATAAAAGAAGGTGACGCTATCATGATAGGATTAAACATGATGACAACATTTAATTATGGATCTCGTTCACCTAAAAGTCTTGTGTTGAAGAATGCCAAGAATATGATGCGCCCTCCTCTGCTTGTGGGATACCCACAATGATAATCTTTTCTCCCAATTCCCAGCTAGTCTGGTTTTTTTAACATGTTTGAAGAAATTGTTCGTTTAATCCATGAAAATACGAGAATAGTTGGTATAATCAAAGTAAGTTTCAGATGATCAATATAGTGTGCATCTATACACACATGTATACATATATACCTAAAGCATTTCAGTTGAACATACAATCATGATCACTTGCCTTTGTCCATATATAAACACGTTGTCTGTACTGACGTCTAGTGGCGGACCCAGCAAATTTTCTTTATGTCTGCACATTCAGGGCGGGGTTCGGGAGTGCCGCCCCCTATTTTTTTTTTAAAGATCACAATCATAATCCAATTTTTGCTTCCACTTCAAAAGTAAAGCTTTGGTGAATCAACCAAAGTTTCAAGGAAATAATCGATAATGATAATTAAAAAATAAATAAACACCACAAAAAGACATTTGTAAAATACAGTATAATTATAGGGGTTAATCGATCAAAAATCCACCTTTATCGATGTCTATTTGATCCAAAGTTGACCAGTTTTGTTTCATAAAAAAACATGAAAAATCCTGTGTGATTCTCCTCTGGTCGACTCTTTACCTTTTTTCCTTTTAATCTTTCTATTTTTTTTACTTGACTTGAATCACACACCCTATGTAAAAAAAAAAATTTCCTCCTCAACTTTGTGTCTGCAAGTCCAGACAATAAAACTAACCTAGGTCCGCAGTGCTGACATCATTAATTATCATTGGCGAAGCCCATATCGAAATGATATTGAATGGTGATCTCGACAAGTTTCTCTCTAGGAGTGTAATATGTCAATATAACAATGATGTAGTGAAGGTAATAGTATAAACTAAAGCTCAACGATGGAGTCACCGTGTGAGTCCGTAGCAAACACTAGGATGAGAATCAGGGGGATGTAAGGCTGAAATTAAGCAAAGTACAATAATGATGAGTAATGTGTAAAATATGTCTTTTCAATTAATGGAGGAGAAAAATATTTATAGGGGAAGGAGATTCCATGGTGTGACAATGATAGGTCTTAACATTTTGCTCTATGGACTCCACTGTAAATGATGTAGCGCCCTCACCGGTGTTTGAGGCATGTATGCATGGGAGTGGAAAATCAAGTGAGATAAAATTGTACTTTTCTAACTTCTGTGATATAGAAGTTCAACTCTAGATTTGGAAAATATCTTTTAGTGCTATCGTCACACTTACTGTTCCATATATCCTTCAAATAAAAATTAAACATCAAAAGCGAAGAGTTTTAATTGTAGTTAAGCTCTACCTCAGAATTAGTTTTGTTGTAATTTTGGAAACACTTTTCACAAACAATAACCAGCTGACCATAACAAGCAGTATTAAAGAAAGCATAAAGAAAAGATACACCAGTATTTTACAGGTTCAGAAACTCAGTGTTAGTGAGTTTCCTACGTCTTGAGGCCTAAAGAGGGTTAAACGTCCTTTGATATCACACTTTATTCAGAAAGCAAGAATCACAAGTATAGAGTTATGGCATACAGATACATCGATATGAAACTAAGCATGTGGAGAAACTATTTAAGACAACAAATCAACAAGAACCAAAGAAACTTGAACAACAGACATCAAGATTACAGATCGGTTAAGAAGCATAAATTCAGGGCCCAAGAAAATGGAGTAGATATCACCAATCTTCACAAGACTGCATAGGAGGCGTTGTTCCTCTCACTGGACCTCCAAGCTAACCACCATGAGCTTCACCGGTCCTCCTTGTAGATTAGTTACTCCACCGTTTGAACACCAATCGAGAATATGCACCGATCAAAAGAATCACCTTGTTGAGATGAACAAGGTTCTCCACAATAGCAAACAAAGTTACTCACTCTATAAGCCAGATTTTAGCAAAGTCTCTCTCTCATAAACCCTAATCGAAAGAACCTTCAAGAAGGTATCAGAGAAAAGGAAATAGCAGATATTTCATGTATCAGTCAAATGCCACGATGTTGTATACAGCTTGGTCACCAAAGGTTATTAAACTTTCTTATTGATAAACGACACTGTTTTCAATTAGTTGCTTAAAACACTCAATGGCAACAGCAGCTGATATTGACAATGAGTATAAAGGGCCTTAAAATAATAATAATGGTATTCAGCCCAATAGGGATGAAATAATAATAAAAGCCCAATACTTTAGAGAAATACATACTACAAAACTCCACCTATTTTTCTAAACATATAACAGAACAAGTATGAAAATACCAGATTTGGTATAGGCATTTAACCCATAGGCCCATTGCAATGCATGATCATGGTGGTTCAATTTTTAGCAAACCTATAGCATCTCTAAATTTGCCAACAGGTACAAATTTTGTAAAAATATCAGCAGGGTTAATAATGCCAGAAATCTTATCAACAATTACTTGTTCACTAGCTATTATCTCCCTAATAAAATGAAGCCTAACATCTATATGTTTTGTTCTTTCATGAAATGCAGAATTTTTTGAAAGATGGATAGCACTTTGTGTGTCACAATTTACCTTTGGTGGGTTCTTACCTAAACCCAACTCACCTACTATACCTTTTAACCATATGGCTTCCTTGACAGCTTCAATCAATGCCACATATTCAGCTTCTGTTGTTGATAATGCCACTATGTGCTGAAGATTACATTTCCAGCTCACCACATTACCTCCCACAGTAAACACAAAACCAGTTAGTGATCTACGTTTATCAAGATCAGCAGCATAATCAGAGTCACAATATCCAACATTATTAAAATCATTAGAATCAAATGCAAAAAAATTTAAACAACAGTTAATAGATCCATTCAAGTATCTAAGTAACCATTTAACTGCACTCTAGTGCTCTTTGCAAGGTTTACTCACAAACCTGCTTATCATGCTAACTCCATATGCTATGTCTGGCCTTGTGCCTATCATAGCATACATTAGACAACCAATAACATTAGAATAGGGAACAAATGACATATATTGTGTCTCTTCAGGAGATAATTCTCCAGAGACAGCTTTGAGCCAAAAATGAGCACCTAATGAAGTGCTAACAAGTTTAGACTGATGCATCTCAAAGATTCTTAGAACCTTTTTCACATACTCAGACTGGGATAAAGATAGATGTCTATCTTCCCTTGTCTTTGTAATTTCCATGCCAAGAATCCTCTTGGCTGGTCCAAGAAATTTCATTTCAAATTCCTTTTTCAGCATATTCTTAACAGAATTTATTTCACTTAAATTTTTAGATGCAATCAACATATCATCCACATATATCAACAGATAAATGTAACAGTCATCATGCAGATTTTTAAAATAAACACAATGATCAAAATTACTTCTATTAAAACTTTTTGATAAAACAAAATCATCAAAATGTTTATACCATTGTCTGGGGTCCTGTTTGACACCATATAATGATCTCTTCAGCAGGAAAACCATGTTTTTCTGTCCCCCTCTTTACAAAGCCTTCAGGCTGTTCCATATAGATTTGCTCATCAATATTGCCATGGAGGAAGGCAGTCTTGACATCAAGCTGCTCCAGCTCTAAATCATAGATTGCAACAGCAGACATCATCAACCTTATTGAAACATGTTTGACCACAGGTGAGAAAATCTCATTGTAGTCAATTCCTTCAACCTGGGAGTACCCTTTAGCCACTACCCGAGCCTTAAAACTTGCTGGTTCCACTCTTGGTATCTCTGTTTTCTTTTAAAAATCCATTTACAGCCAATTACTCTCTTTTTCTTTGGTCTCTCCACCAAAACCCAGGTATTATTTCTCTTTAAAGAGTCCATTTCCTCATCCATGGCTTTTACCCAACTACCCTTGGATTCCAGCCTCATAGCCTCTTTAAATGTAGCAGGTTCATCTAATTCAAGCACATCCCCAACTTGTAAGGCATATGCAACCACATCAGCATGTGCAAACCTACTTGGAGGTCTAATATTCCTCCTAACTCTGTCTCGTGACAACAAGTAGTCATCAAGACCACCACTTCCCTCTTCAACCTGTCCTCCTTCATCAAGGGGACCAGTTTCAAGCTCTGGTTGACCAGGAACAGCTGGCTGTTCCCTCAATTCTTCACCATCAGCATGCTCCCAGGTATGGCAGTTTGATCCACCTCAAACTGAAGAGTTCCAGGTGGTTGGGAAGAACTGGAATCACTCATAATGTCTTTGTAGAAAACATTTTCTTTGAAAATTACATCTCTACTAACCACACACTTTCTTTCAGCTACAAGCTAAAGCTTGTAG